AGAAAATAATTTATTCTTATAAATAAATTATTTCCTTAGAATTAGAGTTATGATAGGAAATAATTTATTCTTGTAAATAAATTATTTCCTTAGAATTAATGAGATATTTATTTCCCTGTTTTACATTATTTCCTATATCTCATAATAATTAATGCGAATTAATTATTAGAGATATTAAGTGTTATACCCTTCCTTTCATATCATTTACCTTTTATTATTTTTAAGTGTTATACCCTTATTTTTATATCATTTACCTTTTATTATTTTTTTTTTACAAGATTATTGTAAGGGTTATTTATAACCTTATTCATATTAATGAAAACGTGTGTATTTCACCACATTATTCTGAATTTTAACAGATATGTTAATACAAAAGAATTGAGTGGTGGAAATGTAAATATTACTCGAATTTTTTTTACCTTGAACATTTATCACATGTTTCTAACATTAATTTATATCAACTCTTCACCCAGATTATTTTCGGTTATTTAATCCCTTCATATTCCAGAAAATATATGCTCCTCTTGCTCCACACCAGCCAGATGCATTCTTCTTTTCTTACACTCACGACAAAATATCGAACCCTTTATTTCATCACTCGTAAACTTTCAACAAAATTTGATTCACCGGAGCTCCGGCTCCTCCACTTTACTGCTTACCGCAACTTCAAATTCAGCAAATTCACCCTACCTTCGCTTCTCAAGAACTGCTCTTCCTTCCTCGACATTTCCCATGGGAAGAGAATCCACGCCATTGTCTTCCAACTTGGCCTCCACTCCGATCTCTACATTGCCAGCTCCCTAATCACCCTCTACTCGAAATGCGGTCTTTTGTTGGATGCCAACCACGTGTTCAATCAATTGTCTCAAGGAGATGCCACAGTTTGGAACTCTATGGTCGCTGGCTACTTCCACCAGCACCATTATCATGAAGGCCTCCACTATCTCCAACAAATGCAGCTTGCAGGTTTCAGGCCCGATTGTCACTCACTCACCATTATTCTCAAGGCTTGCAGTGATGGCGGGTTGGGCCTCAAGCAAGGTGAGCAAGTTCATGGCTTTCTTGTTAGGAATGCATTGTACCATGACACTTTTGCTCTCACTGCATTGATGCATCTGTATTCTAGAGCTGGAGAGGTAACAAAAGTTTGTGGCTTGTTTAATGGAGTGTTTGATAAAAGCATTTCAATGTGGAATGTCGTCATATTCGGGTTATGTTATAATGGTCTATGGGAGAATAGCTTGGAACATTTTGTGCTCATGATGTTTGAGGGTTTCAATGTGCAGCCGGAGACTGCTTCATGCGTTCTTGTGGCATGCTCGATGGTGGGTGCCGGTGCATTCGGCCAAGGCGTTCATTGTTGTGCCATAAAGATGGGATTTGAGTTGGATTCCTATGTTTGCAGTTCTCTGATTAGTGTGTATGCTAATGCTGGATTCATGAATGAGGCGTTCAGAGTTTTTGATACTGTGCCCACGAAAGAAGTTCAGTTATGGAACTCAATGATTTCCGCTTCTTTCAGTAATTATTTTGTTTCCGAAGCTTTGGATGTTTATAATCAAATGAGAGCTAGCGATGTTAAGCCTGATTCAATCACAATAACAAATGTGCTTTCTGTTTGCAGCACGGATGGTCAGGGGGCGTTTGGAAGAAAAATTCATGGGTTGCTGACAAAAATGCCAGCTTTAAGTTCCGTGGTGCTGCAAAGTTCATTAATAAACATGTACATGAGAATCGGAGATGTAGATGATGCTACGAAGCTTTTCAGTTCCGTTGAGGAATGGGATCTCGTCTTGTTAAGTTCTATGATCACTGGTTTTTGCCAAAACAAACATTTTGATCATGCTTTGCAAATATTTAATCAGTTCTGCGCTGAAGGTTTTATTCCAGATTCTGGAATTATCGCAAGCATTGTCTCTGCCTGCACTGCCATGGACTGGTTACATCTTGGGTGTAAGATTCATTCATTGGCGGTAAAGAATGGCACCATATCAGATACATTTGTGGGCAGTGCTTTGATTAGTATGTATTCCAAGTGTGGTTCGCCGTTATCAGCAGCGAGCGTCTTCTACGTCATTGAGAGAAAGAATCTCGTCGTCTGGAACTCTCTAATATCAGGGTACAGCCGCAACGGCCTATTTGACGAATCACTGAACTCATTTGCCGGAATAATTCGAAATGGTTTTCTTCCTGATCCTGTTTCTATAACCAGCGTTCTTGTTTCGGTTTCCACTGTTGCAGCATTAGCTAAAGGGAAGATGATACATGCATTTCTAGTGAGAAATGGAGTTTTCTGTGATGAAGTTGTTGGGAACTCATTCATTGACATGTACATGAAGTGCGGATGTCCTAAATATGCTCGGTTGATGTTTGACCAAATGCCTCTAAGGAACCTCGTCACTTGGAATACAATGATAGCTGGATATGGTTCGCATGGGCTTTGCTTGAAGGCGATGGATTTGTTTGATGAGATGAAACAGTTGAAGATAGTACCAGATGGAACCTCGTTTCTCTCTCTAATCTCTGCCTGTAGCCATTCTGGTTTAGTAGAAGAAGGGCACAAATTCTATGATTCTATGATAAATGGTTACAGAATAAAGCCTACAATGGAGCATTATGCAAACATTGTAGACCTATTCAGTCGTGCGGGTTGCCTGAATGAAGCCTATCGCTTCATTAAAGCTATGCCGGTGGAGCCAGATCCAAGCATATGGTTATGCTTTCTGATTGCTTGTAGAACTCACAGGGTCTCACATCTTGGAGAAATCGCCAGTGATCAGATAATTAAAAGGAAGCCTCAAGAAAGTGAAAGCTACACTCAAGTTTTGAACTTCTATGGGGAGATGGGGTTGCTGGAGAAGGCTGCAAGTCTTAGATTTCAGATGAAGGAAGCAGGGGTGATCAAGAATCCGGGTTGCAGTTGGATTGAAGTTATGGATAAAGTTCACGTTTTTTATTCAGGAGATTCATGTTCTGCATGGACTTCAGAAATCCATGCTTCCTTAAAAAGCCTTAAACGAACCATGAAACTAATTGACGAGTTCGAATCAATATGACTAACTAGTTCTTCTTGAATAATAAAGGATATGGCTTCTGCTGAATATTTTTGTCAGATATCACAAGAAGTCTGACTAATTCTGCTTCACAGGAGTATTGTTGTTCGTTCAAATAAAACTTGCAACAGAAATAAGATTTTTCTGAGCTTCATGTCTTTTGACAGTGAAGTGAAAATCCAAAGAAGAAGAAAAACGAAAATCAAGAACACATGGAAATTTATGAGGTTAGGCAATTTGTGCCTGCGTCCTCGAGAGCAAAGCGGCTATGTCTGTATTTCATAAAAATATAGTTCTCATAGGGTTACAAATATTATATATAAATACAACCTTTAATGAAATTACAAAAATACCCTCCCTCAACCCACTTAACAAGACTCCCCCGACTGGACAGATGCTTCCGCTCCACTCCACTATGCTCGCTCTCTCCGCTACGCTCCAGCATCTATCCCTTACCTGATATATGAGTCATATCTACCGGACAGCTGAACTGTTTGATTTGAAAGTGGAGAAAACAGCTGAAATATTGCAGAATTGTAAATTGTTATCTTCTAAAAGAGGAGAATATGCTGCAAATTTTCACATAATGAAAGAGTGGTTTTGTTTGAAGACTGTTCTTTAGTTATGATGGCAATGTAATGAAACAAAGACTAGCTCGAACTACTTAAGACCGATGTTGCAAAGAAGGCGCAGTGTTCAGATTCTGCAGAGGCAGTTGGGCTGGGATGCTAAAGTTTCTACATCATCAAACTTTCAAACTTTTAACAAATAAGTGAAATCACAATTCACCGAAACACAGAACAATAGCTATTTCTTACATTCACTGTCTTGATGCTGAGATTATATCACATCTTCCTCTCCAACTCTATTCCAAACTCAGAACTTTGGGTTAACAAAAAGGATGCTAAAACTCTGCTCTCAAAGGTCTCCACATCAACCTATCATGTAAAAAACTTATTTTGATCAAAACCTAATATGTCCCCAAGCTCCATAAATTCCATATCATAACTGGTGATGGAAGAATTCAAGCCCGGCCATGAATCACTCCAGTCGGGTTCTAATTCTATCATGGATGGCTTCTGTAACTCCTCTGGCAGCTCAAAGTAGTTTGAAAGTGAATTGCAGGAGGTGAGTTTGCTTCCTTCTTCCTCATTTTCTTGCTGTGGAGATGAGAAGGAAGAAAAGGGAATCTCTTGTTTGGTGCCATTGACGGCGTTAGATTCAAAGCTAGTAACACATGGTTCTTTGCATCTTGGATTGTTCTCTTTCTCAGCTCCGCATGTGTGCTTCCCAAAGTATGTGATTACATATGAGAAGGGATCGTCTTCTGACTTCTGCACCTGTCTTGTCGCTTCGCAGCCTCTATCATACTTGTTTGTGCATCTGAAGTAGTTTCTGCAAGATTTGAGTGTGCTGATAATTAGTGCTGCTTGAGAAGATAATTTAGACCTCAAAAAACCTCTAGGATATGTTCTCATCTTCTAATCGGTAAAGTAATACCTTGGATATTTGGCATTGAAAATCTCTTTTTGCCCATACTTCCTCCATGCGTACCCATCATCAATGGTAGCTGAAGTAATCCTTTTCCATGAATATGGGTTCCCTCTGCAATCCAAACGTAGATTAGTTTTGTAAGCTACCAGGCTATGCAAGACAGCAGAAGGAAGAAGAAGAGAAGTTTATAGATTGAAAATATGCAAAACCAACAGGCTGTTATTGTATCTACACTTGAAGTTAAGTTGCCAAGCCTTTGTGATTGTTTAGTATCAGTACTTTTATAAGGAGAACCCTGTTCCTTCCCATAATTGAAAGATCCATTACCTTTTTCTGTTGGTTGCTTTCCTTGTGTTCTGGATCTTCCTCTTCTCTACCGGAGATCTAATGGTGACATCAGAAGAAGGGGAGCCCACTTGAGCCTCTGTGTGGTTTCGGCCCTTTTCAGACTCCAGAACCGCAAATGCTTTAGAGATTGAGCTCGCAGTCTGCTCAACGAGGAGTTTGGCTGTCGGCAACTCCAGCGGATCGACAAGACGCAGATTGGCAAGTGCGGCTACTGATTGACGAACTTTTGTTAGCTCAGCAATCACGGCAATCATGGCCGGTGGTGATGAGCCTTCTGCTTCCAAGGAGTCCATTCCCCTACCTAGAGACATAAAGGAAATCCCTTTGATGGGGATGAGATTTTGGTTACTTTAGTATGGTTTTTATACTCGAGACGCCATGAAGTAACTTGGAAACAGTCGTGTATGACAAAAGGCGGAGGTCCCTCATCAGCTTTACGTAGCCTGATGACGTCGAGCATGGTCCCGATGGCTTCTAGTAGGTCCATCATACATGATTGAGGTTATTTTATTAGTTTTTCCTAGTTTGAGGCTAATGAATTTACCTGAATTCAAGGAGAATGATGTGTCCGTTTTATATTTCTGATTTTTTTTTTCTTTTTTGTTGAATAAAAAAAGTGTTTCTTAGATTGAATTGTTATTATAAAATATGCTTTCACCCATAGTTAGATAGGGTAAACTTTAAAAAAAAATTCTCCAAAATTTCCAACTCACAGGCGATTTATTGTGCTTACCTGACTAAGTCATAACATTAGTGGCGAATTTGCTTGTGGGCATTGCAAAATCGCCCTGACATTGCGACTTTGTTGATGTAAAAAAAAATTTATTTTTTGTGTTGATTTAAAATAATAAAAATTAAAAATTTAGCCTACTTAAAATAAGGGTATTGAGCTGTTTAGAGCTTTGACATTGGTGATCGTTGGTTGATGATTGATTGGGAGCATTGGATGATGATAGTTTGCTAGGACTTATTTTATATAGGAGAGATCAATGACTTAGAAGGCAACTAAGAGATGTTGGTGATTGACAGGTGCTGAAATACAGTCAAGTGAGAACATCAGAAGTTGAGTGATGGATTAGGACTGCAAAGCAAAAAATTTAACTTCCAGCCAAACATCTTGAAGGTTTGGCATATCCCTGTAAGTGTTAATAACTTTAGGCAAACTGTATTTTCAACACTGCAAATTTGTGTGTCAGATTTTCTTTGTAATTTACCAAGTATTTGTTTTTATTAGTTTAGCACTCAATTCTCAAAACTTAACATATGGCTACTATTTTCAAAATCTTATTAATGTATCATTTAGTTGGAGATTAATTTTAATCGCGTGTTAGTCAGCCATTAGCAAACATGTGTAAAGTGTTTTTCGTTAAACCCGAACATTTGAAACATTACAATTTTTTAGCTATTTTCAATGTTTATGCACGATAACAATTTTTTTTTTGGGGGGATTTACATACATAACTCCCAGTCCCTATGTGTTTACACATCTAACACCTAGTACATTATTTTCTAATTGAAAGGTCAAATGGATTCCAAATTTGATAAGCTTCTAATCAAGTTGTGTGTCTTGATGAGATGAATCAAACGAGCTCAATATTACGCAATCTATTAATGCACTTAAATATCAACAAAATACCATCATCGAGAGAATCACTCTCAGATGTCAGATGGAGTGGTTCATATTTATCCATTATTTATGGAAAATGTCATTCCTAAAATATGCAAATATTGCCCTACTCTCTTTATAAAGAGGAGCCCATACTTAAGCTTGGAGGAGTGGAGTCTGATAGCTATTCTAGATTTGAAAATTCAACAATAACTTTCACCTTCCGTAGTCGTCATCCACCATCGACCCACATCGACCACCACTCACTGGTCACCGTCGCCCACCACTGGCTACACTGGCCACCCCCTGTTATTGTTGTCAATGAACCTTATGGTGTAGCAAAATACCTCAAATGTGCTATAATGATGCACCATTAATATTTTATTAAGACTCACCCCAAATACGGTGTGATGCGTACCATGAATATGACGTAACGACATACTCTAAATACAGCGTTCAGATCACCCTGAATATAGTGTAATGACAAACCTTGAATATTGTTTAACGATATATCCCAAATACGGTGTAACGACACTACCTGAATATAATGTAACGACCACCCAGAAAACAGTGCAACGACGCACTCTAAATAAAGTGTAACAATGCAGTCTAGATATTGAGTGACGACGCACCTTGAATATAGTGAAATAACATATTTACCCTCAATAAGAGAGAACGAATAATGGCATATCGAAGATTTGAAGATAACTTACTACAACAACTACTTAGAATATGATTACTTTCTTCAGACTCTTGATATTCTCTTCTTATGTCGTATATCGACAAGTGATGTTTCTGCTGCAACCACCTACCGTTGTAGCACCGACTATGACCGCCTCGACTAATTTAGTATATTATTTTGGTGCATCAATAACCACAACTAATTTAGCTTCAATGAGTTCACCAAATTACTGATGCATTTGCTCGTTCTATTGCAAAAAAAAACTTAGGACATTACAACAACATCGAACTGCAGGCAGTGTTGCGGTTTTGCATGCATTATAAGATAGGCTTTAGTATCTTGTGTGATTATGTATTTTTGTAATATTTCAATTTGTGCATTCAATTGAGTTGTCCTTTCATACATATAAATTTGATTTACATGTATAAAGGGGATTATTGTATGATGTTCAAGAAAAAGAAAAAAAATATTAATAATAAGAGCCTTACATCATTCTTTTATGCTCTATGATTTTTCACTGCTCACAGTCTAATTTCTGTATTTATTAAGGGTTCTTTTTTAGGCAGCGTGTCTACTAGAAAAATGTAGATCTAACTCATAGTCTATGAACCAAACTTTAATGTAAAATATATAGTAATGTAATGCAAAGAAAATTGTTTATAATTTAAGAAATATATTTTTTTGAGTAAGCAACAATTTCTAGGGATAAAACTTCAACAATATTAATACACTAATAATATGGAAGAATCAAAATGTATGTAAATAAATATAATTTTTAAGAAATATAAATTTAAAGGCAAAATTATTCCCTAAGTGATGTAAGAATTACTTTCTTTGTGTGTGTCTAACAAAATTGAGATACATAAATAGAAGAAAGAAATATGATAGAAATATATTTATCCCAATATTTCATCCTTCCGTCCATTGATTGGCGGCCCGTCAACAGTTTCACATGTATGTGGCCCCAACTAAGATGCTTGGGGCCCACCATAACGATAAAATGGGCCCATTAAGAAATCAAGCGAGTTGACTGTACGGTTTTACACCCGGCGGCTTGATAACGCGGCAGTCGTTTTCATAATTAAGCATGATTTTATATACAAACCACACAAATTTTATATATTTTCATAATTAATTCCAAAACTTTTATTTTTTTTATTTATACCATTTTATGTATATTTAAAAAGATGTGTATTGCCAAAAAAAATTCTGTCCAGACTCCTGACGTAGCTCTAAGTGTGGCCGAAGTTATTTTCATATTATTTCTATGTTACTTTCAATAATACCGAAATAATCCAAAAATAAAGACCGCGGGTTATTTGAATTATTGAAAACTTGAAAATAATTTAGGAATAACTTACGCCCGCACGTAGAGCTACGTCACGAGTCCGGACAGAAAATGCGCTCGTGTATTGTTTTCTTTTTTAAGTTAGCACTAAGGGTATTTTTTTATTTAATTTGAAAAATATGAGGGTTATACGTGTTAAAATCAAAATATATATGTTAAAGATGTAAATACATCAGAATTATGCGCTATGTATGTAAATGATCAAATAAACTATTAAATTTATATATGTAATAACTTATTAAAATTTCAAGAAGGATAAAATAAATATTTAGATTTTATTGTGCATTTTAAGACTTGAATAATATTATTATAAACAGGGATTTACATAACAAATGATACTTAAATACTTAAATTACATAAAATATCACTAATTTTAAAGTATCGTGAGTTAAAATGCACATTCTTGCATATATTTTGATGTAATTGCGACTTTTTTTATATAATTAAATATTAATTTTTTTGGTGTAAGAATTATTTGGTATGTATAAAAATCTCTCTATTATAAATAGATATAAATAATTTTTAATTTGTAAATAGCTAAAATTTAAATATTATTTGTAATTTTATAATATATAAAACATAGTTATTTACAAAAAAAATAATAATAATAAATTTGAATATTCAACAATTTATTAGGAGAATATTTTTTTATTAATAATAGTCAAAAATAAATTACAAAAAATAATGGTCTTAGATTCATCTGAAAAAGAAACAAATATTTATATAATCATAGGGTTATATTCCTTACACATTAATATCATAATTGAAATGGACCTCGTCACTGGCCGGAGCTCATATTAAAAATTGATAATAATAATAATAATAATAATAATAATAATAATAATAATAACTTTATAATTTTTTTGTTTTATAGATAATTTTAAGTTTTTTTTATTCTAAATAAATATCTTAAAATCATTGTTTTATTTTTTAATTTTATTGTGAATATTTTTATTTTTATTTCTTAAGCTAAAATTAAAAAGATAAATACAAATATTTAAAATTAATATTAATATTTTGAAAATCTAACATTTAAACAAAAAACTATAAGGATTTTTATTTATATATTTTGAAAAAAAATATAAAATAAGTAATTCGTACAATGTTAAAATACAATTATAGTACATAAGTTATAATTTTATATTATTATTTCTTTACCTTTAAATTTCTGTCATTCAGACACGTCTATGTTCTGGAACAACATGCTTGAAATATCTCCCTTGCAAAAGTGCATGTGAATCACTGATATCTATTAAAATAAGCAAAAAAGTTAAAATGAAAACTCATGGACTCAATAGTGATCCTCGACTCCTAATAATCTTTAAATAAAGGTTTATAGGAAAATTTAAAGAGAATGATATTCAAAATAAGAATTTCAGGTTATATTATCTCAATACTCTTTTTTGCAAGTCTTTAGTGTGTGAGTGTCGTGATATAAAAAAAAAATAATGTGGAGGTTTTTGTTAGGTGTGACTTAAATACTAGATAAGGGACAGATGCTGGAGCGAAACAGAATGAGTCAGAGGAGCGGAAACCTCAATTCAATCGGGGGGCTTACGTTATGTGGGTTGGGGGTGTGGGGGCAACTCTCCCGCAGACAGGTACAGTACAGGGGTAATTTGTAATTACACGTTGTACACCAGGGTTATATATAAAGCAAATCACTCAAACTATAAGTAATCTTCGATATTAGTAAAACTATAATTAATTGAATGATAATTAGGAATCATATTAATACGCCACCAATAAATTTTTATATTCCTGCACGAATCTCAAAGCATGACAGGAATCTCGAGGCAATATTTTGAGCAAAAAACATTTAAATCTTGATAAAAAGTCATTCAGAACTCT